GTTTAAGAGCTCTAAACTGAACTGACTGATAAGACGAGAGCTCTAAACTGACACTGAACTGACTGCCAAGCAATCAGTCAGTCAGTCAGTCTCATCAGTTTGGATTGATTGTTAGCAACTCTGGTGCGCTGTGCAGAGATGCCTCGAACATCTTGAAGTCCTGATTCCTGTACGCTCGGAATTTGCTTGCGCTTTTGGTAATCCGCCAACGAGATGTGCTTACGCTTTAGATTATCGGCCAATGAGATGCGTTTGCGTTCACTGTCTCCAGTCTCTTCGCTTTCGTCTTTGTCTTCTTCTTCTTCCAGCACTTTCTCCTTGCCTTTACCCTTGTACGCGCTTTTGTCGTGATCCTCAGCTGCTGTCGCTTGGTCCTTCTCCTTAACCTTGTGCTCAGTCTCCAACTCGACTTCTGCCTCTTCGTCTATCTCGCCGTCCTCCTTCTCTCCACCTACTTCACGACCTTCTCCCTCTTCAACGGCGTCGCCATCTCCATCCCCATCCCCCGGTGCTGCTAGGCCTTCCTTGCTTTGGTTGATGCACGAAGACTCGGACGGGACAACTATCTCTTCGGCGTGTACGATGTCACTTGACGAGGATGCAGCGGTATGCGCTTCCCTCTTACGCTCCGTCGATACCGCCATACTTGCAGGCTGGTTTGGCCGAGCCCATTGCGCTTTGCCGCAGGCGGTGTAGAAATATGTTGATTCATTCTCATCTCTAGCACGGTACCAGCCCTGAGGAAGAATGGTGTATGATGCTGGCAAGAGCGAAAGTCGTGGTTCGCGAAAGAAGGATGATGATAGCGACATTGGATAGGAAGGACCGAAGGCGATGATCTTTGCGCCACACCCTGGGAGACTAGTCGCGTCTCCTAAGGACAATGTGCCATCTTCGCTATTATGTGAAGATGATGCTGGAGGAGCTTGACCTGGAGTTTGACTTGAGGGGTTATTCCTACGCTCCTCCGCCCTTCGCGCCGCTCTTGCGTTGTTCTTGGTTGACGCCTTGGAATCCGGTCGTCGTGACGGCATGGTGGTCTTTGCGACACGTGTCGGAGGTTGCATTCGGTTATCTCTTTCCGGTGGCAGGTGCAAAGAAATACTAGCTGTGAGATCGTCGGAACGTTCCAAAGCCATGGGCGCTACTTCCGGAGATGAGGAACGGTCACGATCGTGGGGTAGTGGTGGGGGTAACGGAGAAGATTTGAGGACATCGAACACTACAAGTGGAAAAAGCTGGTCAGTATCGGCAGGTACGAATGAAATAACATCCACGCATCTCGGGGCTGCTCAGATGGTGAGATGTGACGAACATCATGTCGACCCTCGCCAATTGTGCACCAATTATGGTTACAATGAATCCCGTATTCCTGGGATAGCGGCGAATTCTAGTAGGTCGATCGAGGTTGGGCTGACTTACAACTCCTGTCTTGGAACATTTTCGATGTAAGAGGTCCCATACCGGGGGCGCTGAGAAGGGCTCAGAAGTCACATTGACTGATGTTTATTATGGCAGCGTTGAGCCTTCGGAGGCTAAAGAGAAGAGATTGGTATTGATAGCCTACGTACTCTCTAACTTGCCCTCCGGGCGAGAGTCTGGATTGAAGCCGTATATCCATGGAGCGCGTGTTTGTTTGCGTTGGTGCATTGACCTTCATGCGATGGGCCGACGTCGCTGCAGTATCGTCCCGTTCGTCAACGCTGCATCGCAAAAGTGAGTCGGCGCAACTTTGGAAAGGCGTACTGCGGTCAAAAATAGGCTCGATCCGTTGTTCATGGCTTTCACGGGTGGATCGAGAAGTGAGTCAAAGATGTTGAGTGGTCAAGTCCAACCACGATGCGCTACGTCGTTTCGTTGTGCTACCAATGCGAAGTGGAAATATTCTTGCACTACGAGCATGGATCATGCGAGGGACACCGGAGTGGGTGTCGTCGTAAATCTGCCTTATAGAACCCACGCTGGATATCTTGTAGATAGCGCACGCTCAGTCGTGTTGTCTGTTTTGAGAGCATCAAAGATCGTGTGCTCCCAAACTCACAATAGTCGGATTCCGGTACATCACACATGGCAAAGGAACTGCTAGTTACCGTCATGCGCTCAAGCCGAAGGCACTACATATGCGTGTGTTACGAGTGACGACAGGGGTGCTTGGAAAAGCGACCAGGCATCTTCAAAGTGATAACGATGACTGACGACCGGCAGTTGCTTTCAGAGGCTCAGCATGCGCCTTTGGATCTTAAATTGAGTGCTATATCATCAGAGAAGCTCAAGATATCAGGCTTGGTGCTCAATTCAATTTCCTTATTTGAACATGTGGTGATGTCGCGGACGCAGTGGGACAACTCGTCCGCTCATTGGCCGCCTTCCACCTTCACTCCAACGCTAGCTGCGCTCGCTACCGCTAGTGAAGTAGCCGCGCCAAGCCACACCCAGTATGTATTCTTCGATTCTCGAGCGCAAACCCTTCTCTCTTCTACACTCCACCCACTCCTCAACGCAGAAAAATAGAACGGCCAACGCGACATCCAACAAACTCCCAGATCTAGCTCGGACAGAGCTGACAGTGACCGCTATTCCCCACTCGCTTTTCTTTCACGTTTCCTGGTCATTGCACTCTCCTCGTTTCTAATCTCTTTGCAATGCACCATGCGCACAGCCACTTCGACGGCAATGACACAACTCCGTCAGCCAGGCTCGTGTATTCTCATCATTCTTTGTTCTTAACATAAAGTTTCCCGCGAGTTTTGCTGCCTTACGTGCGCGAAAGCCACTGGTCCAGGTACATTGGACGATACGACTGACTGATGGGCTCGCCGGCAGAGAGTCTGATTCAACACGGGGGACAACTCGGGAGGCTGATCACCTCACTGCTGAGAATATTCGACACATCACCAATTGCCTTTCGGGAGGCTAGCTCGTGGCGCTGGGCGGCAGCCACAATGCGCGAAGTGTACCTGTTACCAGGGTGCCGCCCATCCTTTTCATTGGTTTGTTGGACTTGTTCAATGATCGAGGAAGAGGAATCGCCTTCGGGTACCTGTTTCAGCACCTAATTTGGTCGGTATTCTGGTAGATCAGCACGGGTACTCTGAGAATGCAATGTCGCCACACGACTGTTCATTATTGCTTTATGCCAGTGCACATGATACGAAACCTCTAATGTGTCTCTACCTCTTCGACATAGACTGGAAAACTTGGTTACTTTCACTTCCACCAAAGAAGCGCGTCTATGCCAAAATCGTGTGGCTTGTAGGCCGTTTGTAATACTCTCTCGCGCCCCTCCACCGCGTCCAATTTGTTTACACAAGTGAACTACACGACACACGCGATCGCGATTCGGTTTTTGGCAGCCTTTTACTTGCGAGCCTCCGCATTTGAGAGAACCTGTTCGTTTAGATTCTGGTGTTCGGTTACTTATCACGACAACCTTTGCCACAAGACAAGAGATGTCGCGTCAGAATGTCAATTCCGGCAGGAAACAGCGACAGTACGTTGAGAAACTATTCGAATCAATCACAATCACTAACAACATACAGGAAGCGCGGTCCAAGACGTATCTCGCCGTCACAGCGCAGGTTGCTCGAATGTCTGCGTAGCCTACCCCAAGAGCTCCTGAACATGATCTTCCGCTATGTGTTTCTCAACAACCCCGCGCCCGACATCCTGTACAAACCCGGAATGCTACACATGTGCAGATATACTGGCATAGTTGAGGCACTGAGGGAAAGCATAGACATATATACTACGATCCGTGTAGGTCGCCGAAACCGATCAAAGGGGCTACTTTCACAGCATTGGGATACTTTAGACCGACTAGAACATCTCACCATGACCGTTCTCGCTGTTGGGGAGTCATCGGTCAAAGCAGATGATATTAGATTTATGTTCCAGAAACTTCTTTCCCTTATCAACGTCAAGACTTTGAGGTCTTTGTACTTCACAACATGGTCGAATCTAGACCAAAGAAACCCTGTCATTCTTTCAAATTTCTCTTGTTCAGCGGAAGCATTACACAATCTGCTACTTCCCGCAACAAACCACGTCCACACACAAGCGGCTGGTATTCGTTTCTATCTAAAGTATGATCATAACATGCATCTCTGGACTCATGCTGGCGCCGATCTTGGTCTCACCGAGACCTTTCTTCAGCGACCTGGACAGCGAAATCTCAAGTCCATGACACTGTTCTGCAAGGTTACTCCAGGGATCAACATCCCACGGGCTCAAGACGTACGCCAACGGTTCGAACTGACCGACAGAGCAAATTATGTTGCTATAGCTCGTGTGAAAGAGCTCTTTGCCCTCCACGTTGACCTCGCCGAAGTTAACAAATACGTTTTCATTAGACATGTAGAGCAACTTTTCATATAGTACTGCGACGATTTCAGTGACTCCTTGCAGTGCAGATTTATTTTAATGCTAATAGAGAAGCTTCTTAGTGCTCACGCTGGAAGTGGGACTTATGTTGGAAATGGTAGCCGGTGAACGAAAATTGACACGAACGGAGCTCTCGGAGCAAAACATAGCTATCTTAGACATGAGAAGGCCAAATATCTTGATGATCATAAGCAGTAAGCTCTTAAACCAGAAGATAGATACGACGCAAAACGACTTCAGGTTCGAAGTCGGCTTCTCCACCGTGGTCGCCGATTGTGCGCAAAAACACGAGGCGCCAACGATGGGCTTGTCGGGGCTTTGTCAGATCATCACGGCTCGATAAGTACCCGAAAATACTCAGCAGAATCTAGGTTCATATTCTAACCTTCTCGTGACTGTCGTACTGTGCTGTTCATGGTGAACCCAACTCCAGACCACATCAGTTCGTAGTCGCCGAAGCGGTTCTATCCTTATGATACCGATCCATTTGAAGGAACTTTCATATTCGCTGATTAAGACATAAGTGAATGTATATTGAGATAATAAACTTTTTCTATCATTCGGGAAGCACCTGTTTGACCTCTTCCTATTCCAACCCCAGATATCAACAACGAAGGTCGCAATCTTCATCTCGGCACTGCCGGGTTCCGCGGTCGCCAGTTCATTGTTGTCGTCTCAAAATATCACACACGCAACCGAGAGGCGTCAAAGCACCGCTCATGATGATTGCGGACCTGGTCCAGCCTTCTATGAAAATTCAAGTGCTTGTTATTTTATCAGTGTAATGATCTCCACGAAATAATCTAGAATTGTTAGTTAACATGTTTCTCGAAGTATGTTCAAATATGTTGCAATCTAAGATGTTCTAGCTTTGTGATCTGTCTAGCTGTAAGTTCATTTTTCTTCTTTGTGCAACATCGATATCATTAAGTTCTAAATAGAATGTTCAGATAGCTAACGTAGATATGCATCTAGAGTGGCAGGGCTTTCTACCTTTAGTTATCAGCTACATCTGTGATGTGCTTGGCCCAGAGTAAGAATCCTGGGTGGTAACTTGGTGGAAACCTCACGTTGCAGGTCGCGGCCGCGACCCTGAGTGTCAACTACGCAACACAATACACCCTCTTTCTTCTTGTGTCAGCCTTTTGACTGAGCGGTCGCCGTGTTTAGTTGCATACAAGGCCCAATAGGCCCGCCCCTTACAATAAGAAAGATAAGAATTATTACATTCTTACTATCTACGTCTACTATAGTTATATATAAGCTATCTCTTAATATTCTCATAATATAAAGTAAGTACTATCACCTATAGTTACGATCTTCATAATTTATTCTCTATACGCTATTTATAAGAGACCTAACTTTAGGTAATAGAATCCCGAATGCCTACAGAATCTAGGTGCTACTAAGAGTACCTAGAATCTATACAAGGCCTAAGCGGCACTTAAATAACGCGCTTAAACTCTCTAGCATAATGTAAAGGGCTACGCTCAGGGAGCTATCGCACAGGTATACTAAAGTTGCATTTGATAGAGAAGAGAACTATAGTCTACTAAGGTCGAAAGTTCAATCGGTAGTAGCTCTGATTAACCTTCAGCTGGGGTTCAGGGGTTGGGCCTAAGCGTTGTTCAGACGCGTTTTATTGCGTATCGTGAGCTTGCGCACGTAACTAAGACATCATTGAAAATAAGAGAACGAGGGTCTCTAGCCCCTCATAGTTGCTGTGGCGCTGACTAAACGTGTGCATTGAATGCACGGACACTGTAGTACGCCTCTTGCTTGCGCTGATTATTTAGGGCCCAGAATAGTGCGCTGACGAAGATGACGTATCGTCTAGCACCAGAGAATTGAATCAACCTAGATCAGTACTAAATACACTTGGGATAATAACATAGTCTTCGTCCCTTAGTTTTACACATTCGGGTTCACATCGCAGAGCGTTTCTCTCGTACTCGTCACTAGAGTTCTCGCTTCCATTGCGTATTGGTACTGGACAGTACTCTATATCGTCACTTATTGGTGTTCGCTTAGAAAGACTCGGGTAACGACACCAGGTCGAAGGAGAAGTTGCGCAACATGATGTTCATTTTATCGCTCCTGTAAGAGCAACCGATTCTGGTTTTACAGATCAATTTTCTGCTTCTTCGATATCGGACTCAAACCCCAGTCAGCCTTCTCTTCTTTTAGTGGCGGTACAGGCTCCAACTCTAGCAATGGCGGCGTCAGTTCTTCGATAACAGCTTCAGCAACACCCCCTTTCTTGCTCTGCTTACTCATATCACGATAGTCTCCTCTGGATACTTGATCATGGGCTTTGGAAAGAAGATTACCCTCCCACAGGCCTGAGTCTTGTTCTGAGCATTTATCAGATCCTCCTTCATCGATCTCGTATTTGTTCTTTCGCTTCTTTTTGGAGCTGAGTGAAGTGATGTCAACGTCAACGTAAGGATCATCGAAGAATTTTCCAAGAACAGTGGTTTCCGACTTTGGACTTGTAATTTCTGGACGTTGTCCCGGCTTCAACCAACCGCTCTCTTTGGTAGTGTGCTGCCTGTTGATTGGACCGTTCCATCTCAGTGATGACAGTGGGTGATTATGTTGCCCTCTATCGTGCTTGTTATCATTGTACACGATGTACCAACAATCTTTGTGTGACAGAAGTCCGTTTCTAGATAATCTGCGTCGTGAACCCAATGGCCTCATGCATGTACGACATGGGTGAAGTTCTGTCCAAGAACGTTTCGCAGCGTATATGCTGAAGTAATGTGATTGACCATCTTCGTTCAGCACGTAGCTTGAAAAGTCGTGTGAACTATGCTCGATGGCTTTGAAAAGACTTCGTATCTGACGGAAGTGCGATAGAGGCATATCGACCTTGTGTATACTTTCTGATATGATCTCCTGCGTAGACAGTCCGATGACGTTGGCAAATACTTCCCCATCGAATTCGAACACCAATTCGAGAAGTTTGCGAGCACAACGGAGACCCATTTGGCACAGTTCGCTTTTCCAGAGATATACTTCTAGCGGATCTCTGCAATGCAAACACGTTCGAGCGTGTATTTCGAAATTCGTGGCAACTGCACTCTCGCGGAAGGTCAACTCGCGTGGCATGAGTGTTTGCGTATCTTTGACATTCCAGCCAGTGGCTATGCTGGGAGGCAATGATACCTGCTGTATTACTGGAGGCGCGTCATGTCGTCTCTGCATATGTAACCTCAGCATTTTTGACTGAGAATACTGCATTCCACAACTTCTGATAGGACACGGATAACGAGGTTGAACCCGGCTCGACTTAGACCCTGCACAAGCTTGGGCCTTAAGATGTTGTATCAGGTTCTTAATCGCATTTACACCCGTCAAAACAGTGCCGCAGCGATACGGACAGAACACGCTATATTTAGCATCGCTGTGTTCTGCATCAGTTTGAGGTCTCTCTGGAAGTTCAGCCAGTTGGCTCTCGAACCGATCGTCAAAGGCAAGGCGACCTAGAGTATCGAGTGAATCCGGGTGCTGGCTCGGGACTGTTATCCCGTCAATCAAAGATGGAATACTGTCATTGTCCTCAATGCCGCAGCCAGAGACCGAGGATATGAGTGCTGGCAATGGTGACTCATTCTCGATAAGACTTCGCCTAGGCATATTGCCTGACATATCATCGGAATGTTGATTTAGCTTTTGATCTTTGCATGCCTTCGTTCCTTGCGCGAACGAATCGCTTTCATCTTCGACATGTGGTGCAGGCGGAGAAGCATGTTCGTAGGCCTTCGTGGAAGGGGCTGGTATCTCAGATGCTGCCCCTAATCTTGTCGAGTCTTGTACGTGCTGTAGGGACAGGTGAGACCCTCTAGATGGATCTTCTTCATCTTCGGCCGCTGACCACGTACTCCCTAAAGTATCGTCATCAAATTCCAGACAGCACATGCCTCGGAACGAATGCTGTATATGTGGGTCCACACAAGCTTCTCCAATGTGGTCTTCAAGAATATGAATATTCCAACGTTCTGTCGGCTTCTGACGCAACATGTGTTCAATCCATATCGATGGAACAAGATCGCTTGATGGTCCTGATGAGGACCGAACAATATCGATCCAGCCTGCGATGGCTTCAAGGTTCGAATGGAAATCCCTTGTACCAGTACCATGAGCAATCATGTGTGCCCTTAATTCTTCAAGCGTGTGAGATCTTAAAACTGTCCACATCTCCAAGAACACACAGCCGAAGGACCAAATATCAGATGCTGAGTTGCGTTGGGTATATGCCATCACTTCAGGAGCGCAATAGCGAGGGGTCGTGGGCGGTGTTGTCGATGTAGTACTACTGTCTCGATCAGACCAATCGAGTGCCGTTCCAAAATCGGTGAAATAAACTTGGTCATCCTTGATCAGCACATTTGATGGTTTGATGTCTTTGTGGCGGATACGATTGTCGTGTAAATAGCATAGCGCCGAAGTCAGACAGCCGAAAAAAGGCCTCAGGAATGATCGAGCTGTTTCGTCGAGGTTCATTCTCTCCAAGAACGTCTGCAAATTTGTGTCGGCCACTGGAAGCATCACAATGGCCACGAATTTTCTGTCGGTATAACTTCCGACCAACTCAACAAGGTGCTTGTGCGACAACTGTTTGAGATTTGACAATTCTTTCGTGAAGTCTCTCAAAACCTGTTTGTCCTTCTTGAAGGTTCTCCCTCTCAGTATAAGTTTCCGTGCGTACTCCTGGTGACTTATGGTGCTGACGACGCGATCGACGAACCCAGACCCGCCCTTGCCCAATTCTCCAATCTTCTTCAAGGGTACCTCCGTAGAATCGTTGAAGTGCCCGTGGGACGCATGTCGTTCGAGATTAAGTGCTTCGGTATTGTAGACGAGGTGCTGCAAGTCGAGGAATCTGAGACGTGCCGAATGATCGCGTAGTGCTTCCGGAAGCGTACTTTTGGAGAACGGAAAGTAGACATCTGTAATGTCGCCGTCGATGAACGCGTCTAACGTATCTAGCTGGCCAATCTTCCGGAGGATGCTGTACAGTCTTGGGACGCGACTCCATCGTTTCCGTGCACAGCGCGACAAGACATCTGCGATGCCACGGATATCATTCTCAGTGAAGGATGTCAACACTTCTCCACCGTTGTTGGGAAACCATCTCCGTAAGAGGTCTTGCTCGAAGTCTTGCCGGGTCATAAGGCGTATTCATTCAGTGATCAGTCGCTATGTGGGCGGGATTTGCGCAGAGCAAATTCGCGAGGAGCACGAATAAGTAGTGTAATGCACAGATACCACGTGGATCGTCCACGATCAGCAATGGAGATGATGACAGTTTGGTGGTCGTGGTAGGACGCGTGCAAGGCCAGCATCTGTGTGGCACGAAGGATGGAAGGGGCAACAGGCACCGCCCCAATCGTGCAGCTCAGCTCCTGCAGCTCCCCTGCATTTACTTGTTGTCAGAAGGATTCAAGCGGCATGCGCCACAATTCTCGACGTGCCCAAACACAACCATCCGACCTCCCGTGATGTGCACTCTACAACCCAGATGTGGACTTTGAGATGCGCGGAAATTGCTAATTTAACAAGCGATGCTGAGCGGCAGTGTAACCAGATGTTCAATGTGCCTGCCCTGTGTTATTGAGGGCATGTAGGTGGACAGGTTCGCAACCCGATAATCTTATCGCTGAAACCATCGCGCTGCGCTCTAGTCCAGGTTCGGTATGGCTTTGACGCCTGGGGAAAGATACGAGCTCCTTCGTATCGACATAAAGTGTGTCAACTCGAGAGAACATGAGTTCGTGAACTTCGTTCTATATAAACTTTTCACGCGATTCTACACAGTGATAAACCTCGCCATCCAAGTATCCGTAATCTGCTTCGCCTCTTCCACAAGCCCCATATCAAGCAAGACCTGCACAGTCCCCCTCGTCGCACTCTCCAACGCACTAAAAATCCACGTATGCGTAAACGTCGCCGCCTCCCCAATAAAAACAGTATTGTACTCCGTCTGATAAAAAGCCGGAAGATACAAATGCTGCTGTCCAAAAATCTGCATGGTAAAAGCCCCAGCCTGATGCTCATCCTGCTCCCAACACTGTCGCGCATAGTTGCCTGTCCAATTCTCCTCAATCACATCTCGGCCGTGCATTTCGATAAAGGCGCGTTTGATGTAGGCCATGTGCTCGGCTTCGGGCATGGCACAGGCGACGGTCGCTTCGTAGTCGGAGAGGTAGGAGGCGAGCATGGTGCCGGGGCCTGTGGCGTTAATTTGCCAGGACGGGTAGCAGATTTGTCCGAGTTGGGGTTGGTACAGACGTGTGCACCCGCCGATGATGGGCTGCGGGAGGTGCTCCCAAAAACGCGTTTTGAACTGCACGGCGACTTTGCAGGCGTTGGCGAAGAGAGTGCGGTCGATGGCGCGTTTGAGGAGGCTGGAGTAGCGGGGGAGATGCCAGAATTTCATGAGGTTCAGGGGTACGCTGTTGAGAACGTAGTCGAAGTTTTCAATGTTGTCTGGTGTTGAAAAGGCGTCGGCTCCGGTTGGCTTCCAGGATACGGATATTGTTTTGTTGTTGTCGTTCCAGTGAAGGCCGTTGATCTTGGTACCGTATTTGACTTTGTCCTTGACTAGTGGCTCGAAGGCTGCGGGCATTCTGGAAAGACCGCCTTTGATGGTTACCCATTTGGTGGCAAGGAAGTAGACGGTCTCGTACTCCCACATAGGCCAGTAGATGTGGGATTGACCGACCTCATCGGTAGTGTTGAGATCGAACTTCAGCTTGTTGCGGAGGTAGGCAACTTCGGAGTAGTCGAACATGCCGTCGTCTTTGGCCTGCTTGTATGCTTTGAAGATGTTGGTGGCGTACATCTTGACGCGCTCCTTGTCCAGACCCTTGAACTCGTCAAGGGCAGCAATGGCCTCCTCGGCAGTAGTGGCATTGCCATATGTTGTTGGGTTCTTATATGCTGGATCATTTGCTATCTCAGTCCTGCTCGGAATGGTTCCATCGGGACGACGGAAGGGACTATCAGCGGGAGTGTTTGGAGAAGTTTGGATCCATTCGATAAAGTCAACAAGAAGGTCCTTGTTACCACCATTACGTTCATTGAGAGCTTCGGCCAGCTGGAAGATCATGCGCTGGTCGTTGAAAGGAAACGTCTCGTTGGTCTCGGAATCAGTGATCTCGTACGGGAAACGCATGGGTCCAAGCTCATGATATTGACCTTCATCCGGAGAAGTGCCGTTGAGATAGACTGTACGAATGCGGCCACCGATACGCTGAGATGACTCGAGGATTTTCCAGTTGTGTATGCCAACAGAGTCTAGTAACAGCTGTTGATAGTTTCATTAGCGTACTGTTAATATTCCTCATATTTTGAGTACCCACAGATGTCATGAGCCCAGATATTCCTCCTCCGAGGATACCGAAGGATTTACTCTTAGCTGAGGCTACAAACACCTCATCTGGCTGCTTCTGCTGCAAGTATGCGACGCCGTCGAACCAGTTACTGTCGACTCCTGCGACATCGACAAAGGACTTCTTCTCGCTGCGGCGGGTGCGACGCTTGCTGACAATAAGCTCTTCTGACTTCCCGATTGGCTCTCCATCAAGGAACGCATGAAGACATCCGCCAGACATTTCGGCTGGGGTCAACCAGACAAACTTGTTTGGCCGCCTTTTCTCGTGTCCTTGATGGCGTTTAGCCAAAGGATGAGCGCCAACATGTGTCCGGCCGATATGTTGCTTTGCAGATGCGATGGAAGCGCCAGCATCACATGCTGCGTATGTGATTGTGAGCTCACCATCGACATCTCCGACATAGTCAACGACGATATTCTGGGCGCTTCCGGGTGTAGCTCCAGTCAAAGGAGCAAAGGTAACTGATGGATGGCTCAAAGGCTTGGATTCGGAGAGCGAAGCGATGCTTGCCAGAAGTGGCAGCAATTTGATAAAGGACGGCATGCTGATTGCTGATGTAGGATGAAGCCGCTGGTCAACAACATCTTGCAGTCGTATCTCTCTATGCCTTCTTATGGATCTTCCAGAAGAACTCCTTGGCAAGCCAAGGACCGCTGGTATCTACCTTGATGTCCTCGATATCCACTGTTGAATATCCATCAGTCATCCCGCAATGTTATCGTGCACCGCCTTGTGTTTTTCTCCAGGTAAACTCACCGAAGAGCCGCCGGCAAGCCTCCGGATCATGTTCGCTATATCGTCAGCTCAGTGCGTCTGGTAAAGAGAATGACTGGTATTCCTGGATACTTGGGAGCATCTTCATGAATACTGAGCCCCCACTTACGAAGGTCTTTGATGGGTTATCGCTTGAAGTTTCGTGTCTCGATCCACCCACGTAGTTCGGTATCCGTATGCTCGGAGTCGGCATATCTGAATCCGATCCATGATTGGAGCGGGCGATATCCTTGAGTCTTGGCCGATGGAAGCAGACAAGTGTAGGTGATCGTGACGGTCCGTCGGCTGGGCGCTACCATGCCAAGAGCAAAATGGTAAGATGCCAAGTACACCCGAGCACAATCAGGTAGTTTTCCCGCTCCGAACGACGGGGCCCATCAACCCAACCATCACCGACGGCATAGATACTGTGATATTCTGCTGTCATCATTTACAAGGTGCCAAGACAGTATCGCGGAATATATAAACTTTCAACGTTAGTGTACTAAGTCTCTGCTTTTTATTTTTTACAACGCCGCACAGGCCTGTAGCTTCAGTCGCTACTTTCGACTTTTGCAAGTCTCTCAAACGACTGCGTTTGATCAATCCGTCCTCTGAAAACTGTTTCTTTCTCTACTGGGTCCTCCGATGACGCCCATCTTCTCTTCGGCAGTACTGCGCCTTTCGCCTCTTTCAGCCTCTTCGCTCTCTTGCAATACCTGGTTGTTTGGGTTTGGTTCTACAACCTGACCGTGATTACCACCCACCGACTCCATAGTGAACGGACTCGCAGTCGGCGCATCAAGAATTCCCAACTCCTCCTGCGTAAAGAAGTTGGGCATTAAGAATGTTCGCATCGGGATATATAACAAGATAAAGACGGGGAAACCAATGGCGGCAATAGTTTGAGTGATAGCGAACGTGGCACCAAAGCCGATGAGTTCGAGGCCAACGAAAGCCCAGATCACCCATCGGCGCTTGATCTGTTTCAACGGGTCGGATCGTGATGTAAGGTGCTTGTCCTTCGCGAGAAAGACGAGCTTCGCCGTAATGCCATTTGCTTCCAGTGCCTGAATGCCCATAACGAAGAACAAGCCTGCTAGTACAGCTTGTGGGATAAGATGGAGAACAATGAGAAGAGGTCCGCTCATGGTACCTAGCGTCAGAAGTCCTTGCGCAAGGTTCGATACTCGCTGCTCCACCACGTGGTCGACAACCCGCTTGGCATGTCCTTTGTTCTCTTCGTCATCCGAGTCGGACACAGTGCGTGTGACGCAAAGCGACGTGGTATGGAATGGCGCCTGCGGGATGAGGCCATTTGGGAATGGGATGCCTAGTAGCCCGGCAACTCCAGTTGTTATGCCCAAGAGGAATATATCCCAGTGAAAGCCCGCTGGTTTGCGTAACGGAAATTCCATGCCTTGCGCGATTAGACTGGAAACGTTATGGTCAAACCAGAAAAGAATGGTCAACAGTATGGCGAACGGAATAGCGAGAAAGACATCACCAACACTTATATCCCAGAAGTGTATGAACCATCCGCGATCTGTGGTTGGAAAGAAGGCTTTCGACGTAGGTAGCTTGAGCAACTCAATGCCGGCCATCTTGCCAATGTGCACGAAACCAGTGAAGAAGATGACTGTAAGTGGCGTGCCATAGTCTTCGACAAACTTTCGAACGTGCCGCTGAAGCAGCGACGATTGCCCAACGATGCCACAAATGTATGCGACCGCGGTGACTAGCAAAGCAATCACGATTGAGAGATATGCCGACGCGTCATTGACAGCCCATTGCCTCGTCAAGACCTGTATCCCCTTTTGCAGATATATGAATGCGACGTAGAAGCCGAAAATGTCGCAGGAAAAGCGCGTGACGTATCGTAGGCCGTTACAGGAATTCGTGAATGCGAGGATCCAATGAAAGACCAAAGACCATATGCCAATCCAGCACATAAATGCGAAATAGTTGGTTCCCCGTGGGGTAATGATATCGTATACGGTGTAGTTGAAGACGGTGATTGGTCCTGTGACTCCCACGATGACCAGCGGCTGCGCTGCTGCGAGTGAGAAAACGACAGAGGCTAGCGCTGAGGCAAGAAGAACCTCATTGACACCAAAACTCTCATTCGTCTTTTCGAACATGTCCAGCGAGAAAGCGAGCGCGGGCAGGATGTTCGCAAAATACATGTAGACTGTCGCAGGCACCACACGATAGTCCCACGCATCTTTCCAGTCGCTCCAATAGAACGGTGCTCGTCGCCGCACATCGTTTATCATGCCACTGAAAAGGCGTGTCTTCCACCAAGCATTCTTGCTTGAGGCTGCAGTTCCGCGTGATTGGCGCGTGTTCTCCCGATGGAGATGGTTGTTCGACGTGGCATGGCGCTTCGAAGGGCGAAGCATACGCGACTTCCACGACCTGTTCGCGTAATTCGAAGACATTGGTTCGTCCATGGCGAGACCGTGGCCCTGGGTGGGTACGCTACGGGTATTTTGCTGCAGGCGGAATTATAACAGAGATATCGTCATGACCGGACAATCTCTGCAGATATGGGCGTTTTCCTGGCGATTGAAGCACGAAGATCAAAGGTCGTCCCAGGGAGTATGTATTTCTGCGAGGCCATGCGAACAGACCAGGAGATTTGCCGCCATGACAGAAGGTCGGCGAGCTTGTATATGTATGGTAAGTGGAGGAAATCATCTTCACACCGCCGTCGCCGGCTTTGCGGCGGCAATAATTTTAGCGCGGACAGGCTTGGCAGGTGCCTGATGTCACCAACACTACAATCTAAGCATGCACCGGCTCTGCATAGCCGATACGACCCTTTCATCTCAACAGCTGACTTCGATCGGAAAGTGACTACGGATCGTACATCTCCATCTCGTTTTTCGGTGTTCTCGCCTGAACGCCTTGTTGGCACCGATTGGTCAAGCCGTATCAGCTCCGAGGACGCGGAGGTCTCTCATCGACACCACGATACGGCGTATACGGTGCGACCAAGAGCACGCGCTGGTTGACCAACGACAGTTATTATCGCGCTCGATATCGCCACCGTCAAGTCTCGTAATTCTCTCCAATGCTACATTACTTTGCAAGGACTACTCCAAACGCCTCAATCATGTAATCATCCTACACCGAACTACAGTCGAATAGGCCTTCAGGCTCCAATCATCTCACAAATCCACACCTTATACCAATCCTTACGGAGTCCACTTCGACGCTTAGGCCGATACGCAGCAGCCAGCGCGGCAGCAAGACTGCAATCTAAGCATTCCCTTTCGACGATGAATTCTGTCTCTGTACAGTCCACCAAGAACCATTGTTGCACAAGGCTAGCCTTCAACACTGCTACCTCCGCCTCTCCGATTTGATATCGAGTCAAGTTTCTGCTTTATACTTTTCTGACAACGTCGCTATTGGTAGGTGTATGGGTCATCGAAGCTGGATTGCAGTGCTCGAATCTAGTCTTCCATATGAATGATCGAATTGCGGACGCAGGCATGATCCGATATACCCTACCATCCGTCTGGGACGGGTTCTTGAGCTCAAATCGAACCTTCAGTGCTGTCGCTGTTTCGCGTACGACTACGTTAATGTCCTGGAAATTCAGACCCTCTGGCAATCTCGACGCGACGGCGATGTCCAACTCAGATGCCATGTATTCATCTGTCATAGTCGGGTATGAGCGTTCATACAGCTGGATGGTACCCACCGTGACAGTCACCCGACCCGACAAATGCCCCGCATACGACTGCCTGAATGTACTGTAATAAGTACACATCCCAAAGTTGGATACCGCACTCTGTGAATCTCCCTGCTTTGGCACACGACCAGAGAAGAGCCGCAACGTATCGTTTAACCAATTTTTGGAACTATACAGAGCTGATATAACATCTGAATCGTACCGGTTGCTCTCAATGCCTGGCTGCCTTGAATCGGTACTCCTCTTACGTCCTGGTGGTTGGATGTAAAATTGCTCTATACCTAGACGCGACGGGTGCAAAGAGGTGGGGTTGTCCACTTTTGACAACAATTGTCCAAGTTTGACAACGGTCTCGAGCAGGACGATAAAGCAATACCCTTCCCCAGCCTTACCGCCGTGACATGAAGCACACCCACATGCGCGCTTCAGCGCCGTCTTGTATGCCTTGTATGTTGCCACAGCTATGCTCGCATCAAGCTTTACATCATGGTCCATATATTGTCGAAGTCCATAAGAGCAATGACTTTGTAGTTGTTGTTGTAACACATCAATGAAGCTATTTACTTGCGCAAGATATCGCTGTTCTTGATGAAATCTTCCCAGCTAGTCAGTTTGTCATCTAAGATGCTGTGGCTCTTCTCCAATCCTTTACTGTTGAAGTATCCAGGGTTGGCATTGAGCGAGTGGGTCTCTAACACCTCTGATGCCCTGTCTGGAGGCATGCGCTTCTACGAGCCTTGAAACAATACTACATACAGCGCTTCGAGCTACTCTATACACCCCGGTATGACTGTTCGAGAAATGCAAACACAGGCGAATGCGTCACTTCTCGAGGCAAAATGCGCATAGTCGTAAATAGAAACCAGACCACGCATAGGCAAGGGGGCAGCTACAGTAACCTTGCGATAACCAGCGCGAGGCCGGCGCAAGAACAATTCCGACGAACATGCGCTGATTCGCTGCTCTACTTCAGTGGGGTGAGCAACACCAATGAAAGTACTGGATGCATCCAGGTGTGCGACGACTGTGCCTCAACTACGCGCCCGGGATGTGCGACGTTCGTCGGCGATCCCTCAAAACTACACCTCTCGTCCATTCTTCTTCTGAACACCTTCACCCCGACACATCGCAAACGATCCTCGAAACCAGTCTTCGATTACATGGCGCACGATCGGGCAGCAGCTCCTTCTATTATTGAGTCTGAAACGTGGGATATCTGCACACCTTCCGCATCTTCCGAGAATACCACAAAGAACGCTTTGGGTATCGAAATGCCACAATCTTCTTCCATCCCATGGCCCGGGCGAACCTTCATGATCCGATCTCATAAAACGGGGCAGGTTATCACGTTCTTGGACGGTGAGATCGTGATGGACAAACCAGGAGGCCTTGGTATTTTCAAGTGGCGATGCGTTGAGGAGAAAGGATGGATGGGGTTTAAGGACCCAGCTTCTGCACAATACCTTGGTCATCATGAACATGGAGTTCTGTTCTGTAAAACCCCTCATCATCGAAACAACGAATACCTATGCCCCCGAATGCGCCCAGAAGGTGGATTCGTTCTGCTAGTACGTCAGGGTGACCATCTTCGCCCCTTGGGTGTATTTGCAAACGAATCGGAAAAGGAGATCAGACGGAAGGTTAAGATTATGGACTGGAGCTCTGAGGAGATTGTATGGGATTTTATTGAAGTGCAACATTAGGAATGATAATAGTTACCGAGACAGATATCTTGAAGGAAACGTACACCCTGCTGGAAAATATTACGCTAGTACAGTTACCCCTTTGTTGGTGTTGAAGCAGGTGTTGACCTTTGTCAATGTGTACTAGAGTGTTGTGCCTGACATCCTAAACCGCAAAGTCCTATGGGTATTTAATTATCGTTGCAGCTTCGGTATGCCTTCTTAGTATATGATGCCCAGTCGTATCAACTCCTGGTTCTTTGTGAGTTGTGCCATCCTCGCAAGGATAAACAATTGCAACTGATCGGATGAAGGACAATCGAGGGATGTGACGCCTGATCGCAAAATTTTGGAATGGTTGCGATGCTCATGTTACTGCAGTTGAGACAAAACGTAAATGCGAGTCCAAGTACGTCACTGGGAATGTTGAAATGAAGTTCCACCTCACCCTGCAGCCTCTATCGCAAGTTAACCCCGCTCTCCGCTAACAACAAAGGCTAGCTAATCAGCACAAACCTCAGCTCTTTTTGTGAGCCTACTCATCACACGGCATACGTTCCCTGCAAGAAGAAGCGATGACATCTTAGCCTACAGTTGGCAGATCCATCGCTCAGTCACGGTTACAGCCAACCAACCATGTCGCTCAGCAAGCACACGAAACGCGACTTGCAGAATTTATTAAATACTTGTGTGCGCATCTATGGACAGTCTTCACCGGTTTGTGCGGCTTGGCCACCCTGCCGCTGCGCAGTATTGCTTCAGCCACAATAAGGCAACTGCCAAGTCTTGTTTCCGACAGGTCGACGCCTTCTCTTATAATACAGACGATGCCTGTGCCTTCGCTGCATTTCTCGGCACTTCTTATGTTCTCTTGAGGGGTTCCTCGTTAAGCCAGTACGATGATTACCGACAATTCTGAATACACCGGCAGGTTTCATTGCATGTTTCGCTATTACACGAGCATGTCACTCGGGCCGATTCGACTGCCTCGGCTGCCTCCCTTCAACTACGAACCTCTTCCTGCCAGGTGTATTCGGGTACTGGAACTTCAACCTGGTGAGCGCACCGACCCTTTCCAAGGCCGTTTCACCATCATATCGATCGGTGGTGGAGACAAGTACGATGCTCTCTCATACATGTGGGGTGATGCGTCGCCCGTGGATCACATCGTTGTCGATGGCGCAGCTATACCAGTGGCTTGGAACCTCGCAAGGGCATTAGAATACCTGCGCGATCAGCAGGGCTCAGAGGTTCGTAGAATCTGGATAGATGCAGTATGTATCAATCAACAAGATGAGAAAGAGCGCGGGCATCAGGTTGCTATGATGCGTTCAGTTTATAACAAAGCGGACTGTGTTCGGATCTGGATCAACGGACCTGACCTAGAAGAAGAGAGTGAAGCAGTGGCGGCGCTCAAAAGCTTTGAGCTACGCACGGAAGGATTGAACTGGGGCCTAGGCGATGACATACAGTTCTGGGAGCCTGTGGGGCCGATATTCAAGAACAAATACTGGGAACGACTCTGGATGTAGGTCACAGTCAATTCACACGAAGACATACTGTAGCTAATCCTATACGCAATGAACTATCAGACAACAGGAGGTCATGAACGCGCAGCGACTAGTTCTGCATTGCATGAACGTCATTGTTCTTGGTACCAACTTTTGGCAATTCCAAGAAGCCATAGATAAACTGACGAAAGCGGCCCTTGGGAAGTCAGATACACAGATGATGCTTCAGATATCCACGATACTGAGCATTGTACTTGTCGATAGGGGTCCGCTCATTGACATGCTCCCTCAGACTCTCAACCTGAAGTCATCCAGAACTCATGATCGACTTTATGCAATCATGCATTTGGCCAATGATTTTCAGGAAAACGACATAGATGTCGACTACAACAAAACAGCTAGTCAGGTTATGCTTGACGCAGTTGACCACCACATTAGACTGCATCGTAATCTTCGTTTTCTGGACAGTTGCTTTTGGTCAAACTTTGACGAAAACGAGTATGCGGAACACAACTCAGAACGCTCATTTCTCACTTGGATCCCACGCACATGGTCAGAGTCTTTCGAATGTGGGACACCCATAAGTTCCTCTCAGAGGAGACTTGGACACGAAATCACCATTGGTGAACAGCTGGACGATGATGAAGATAGCTCCGACAAGATACTCGCAACTGGTAAATACGCGCATAACAAAAGATCAGTAAAATCTCTGACCAATCTTCCAGATAACGAGTTGTTCACGACCTGTGCGTCGGACTCCGTTGATATGACTCATATGCGATTACGTGTTCGTGCAATGAAAGTTGGCGAGGTACGAACAGTGTTGCCGTTGCCAATTGAACGTGATCGTGACGGAATGACTGTGGCCCAATTCTGGTCATCCGGTCTCGGTCAGCACATTGGGTCATATTTCTGCCGCGAGAAGCAACAGATACCACTTGAAGTGGTCCGAGCCTTGGCTAGATGGTGGCCAAATCAGTACATTAATTACGAAAACGTCGTACTTGGGCTCAAGTGGTTCTACGACTGGAGTACGAGGCCAGATCTTGCAGATCGTCATATCGGTTTTGGCGGACACTTGATCGACGCCTTGGTAGCACCACTACCCAATTATAGCAACCATAGTGCAGCGATCACTGCAATATCTCACATCGTCATGGAACTCACCGACCGAAAGTGCATCTTGACCGACAAAGACCAGTTCGGCCTCATTCCCGAATGCAACATAAGAGCTGGGGACGAAATATGGATGTTACTCGGATGTTCCGTAACATGTGTATTAAGGAAACAACCCAACGGAACGTATGAGCATATCTGCACAGCAAAAATTCCCGTTCTTATGGATAGCATCGTAGGCCACACGGACATTCGACGTTTCTCAACAAAGGCAGCACCAGGCGAACAAATTGGGGAATGGACGATTGAGGATATCGAACTCGTCTAAAGAGGTTACGTAGATCAATGAGGTGTAGGAAGATTTCAACTGCAGCTCTATCACCAGCCTTCTAAACCACTACAACCACCTACTTCTTCTCCCCATCCTTACCCTTCTCTTCACCCTCCCCCTCACCCTCCTCCTTCTCAACAAACATAGTCTCCTGCGCACTCCAAAGCTCACTATACAACCCCCCACAATCAATCAAATCCTGATGCGTCCCACTCTCCGCCACACCCCCCTCCCTCAGCACAATAATAACATCGCTATCATAAATCGTGCGCAGGCGATGCGCCACAAAGACACTTGTGCGTCTCTTCTCCCTAACAAGAGAATTGATGTGTGAAAGGAGAGCTTGCTCGGTATGTGTATCCAGCGCACTCGTCGCCTCATCAAAGAACAAGAACGGCGGATCCTTCAGCACCAGCCTAGCAATTGCCAATCTCTGCTTCTCACCACCCGAAATCATCATGCCCCTCTCCCCAACCATGGTCTGGTATCCATCCGGAAACCGCGCAATACTCTCATCGATACGCGCGCGTCTCGCCGCCTCGATGACTTGTTCTTGCGTCGCGTCCAAGTTACCGTAGTGGATGTTGTGTTGAATAGTGTTGTTGAAGAGTGGGGTATCTTGCGGTACAACACCAATCGCCCTGCGCAAGCTATCCAGCGACACATCGCGGATATCCTGACCATCGATCAAGATACGTCCCTCCTGCGCATCGTAGTAGCGGAACAAAAGGCGAAGGATAGTTGATTTTCCGCAGCCACTAGGTCCAACGATGGCGACTTTCTTGCCCGCGGGAATAGTAAGGTTGAGGTTCTTGAGAATAGGTCTGTCGTGGCGGTATCCAAACGTTACGTTTTCGAATTTGATCTCTCCGGTTTTGAGGGCGAGGGGCTTGGCATCTGGCTTATCCTTGACGGCTACGTTGACTTTTTGGAGGTTGAACAGGGTCTCCATGTCTAGGAGACTCTGGCGGAGTTCGCGGTACATGGAGCCGAGGAAGTTGAGGGGCACGGAGAGCTGGAAGACGAGCTGGTTGACCATGACAAGGTCGCCGACTGTAAGCTGGCCCGTGGCAACGCCGTTGGCGGCGAGGTACATCATAGCAGTGAGAGCGGAAGAGAAGATGATGTTCTGGCCCGAGTTGAGGAAGGCGAGGGAAGTGGCGACCTTGATGGACGCTTTTTCGTAGTCTTTGAGCGCTTTGTCGTAGCGCCCGACTTCGTATTTCTCGTTGTTGAAGTACTTTACGGCCTCGTAGTTGATCATGGAGTCGACGGCGACGGTGGCGGCTTTGTTGTCGGCGGCGTTTGCTTGCTTGCGGAATTTGGTGCGCCATGATGTGGTCATGATGGTGAAGACAGAGTATGCGGTCATGGTTGTGCCGGTGATGAGAGCAAATTGCCAGCCGTACTGATAGGTCAGGATACCGCATACCAATGAGATTTCCAGTGCCGTGGGAAAGATGTGAAAGACCATGGCAGTCAGCAAGAAGCTGATGCCCTTGGTTCCGCGATCAATGGCCCGTGTCAAGCCTCCGGTTTGTCGTGACAGATGGAAGCTCAAGTCTAGCCGGAGCAAATGCTCATAGACACTGCAAGCGACCTTGCGTATCGCCTTCTGGGCCACACTGGCGAAAACAGCATTGCGGAGTTCTTGGGATACAGTGGCGCCAATACGAGTCATTCCGTCTGGAGGGAGTCTCAGCCAGGGTGGAAGAAAGATGCATTGTTGGGTCTAGCTTACATGCAATGATCATAGAGCCTGCCACTGTCGTCGCCGTGCCGCCAACAGCTGCAAAGTCTATGTTCATGGCGTCTACAATGCTCTTGAAGTAGAAGGGAACTTGGACGTTCAGCAGCTTTGCGCCTACAAGCAAGCCCACGCTGAGGCCGACCCTAAATCTGGTGCCCAGATTATCCTTTGGCCACAGGTATGCTGACATTTCCTTCATGATAGCCCAGTCGGCCTTGCGCTGCTCCTTGTTGGTCAGGACCTGCTCTTGGAGCAAGGGATCCGTCTTTGCGACTTTGGCAGCAGCGGGGTCGGCGGCAGGTTTGGTAGCTTCGACGGCTGGCTTTGCGCCTGGGTTTGGCCGCTGGCCGTGAGCATCTTTTCTGTGTAGCGGGGAGGAGGTGAAGACGCGGATGCCGTGGTGTAGAGGATGCGGGCGCAAACTGCATGCCCGAAGGCCCGGCCGACTGGCGGCGCGGGCAAGTGGTTGGATTAACATGGCGAACCTCACATGTTAGGAGCCCAACCGCTGCCACAGGACGGAGAGAAGCTTTATATGCTTGGAGTTGGAGATGACAAGAGGTGTTTGCGTGAGTACCTTGAGACATGTCGCCATGCATCCCACGTTGCCTTAGCGCGTTTTCCCCGGCAGGGCTGAAGCGAGTCTTGCATCATCGCTGCTCCGAGCTTGTCCACAAGGAACACCTCCCACAGCCAACACGCGCCAATTGACCGGCACAGCCATGTTACGACCGGCTGCCTCGCCCTGGAGAAACCTCTCGCGCACATCGGCGGCTGCCATACGGCGGACGCCCATTGCGGCGCGATGCATCAACATATCTGCCACCAACTCGTCGACGGAGCCCGCGCTGCAGCAGGCAGTCAGTGTCGAGGGCACAGCGACGCCCATGCATACTCCAGGTGAGAGAGAAGCCGAGGAATAACAGACAAAAACATGCAAAAAAACGTTTACTCACCACACGTCAGACGCCCGTTTCGAAGTCATAGGCACTCCCTTCTCGCTGCTCTCAGTCTCCCTCTCCGCATCGCAGACGCTCTACACCCGCCGCGGAACACTCGTTGGCCTCAGTGGAAAGTCTGAGAACACACTGTCAACCCTCTCCTTCCTCGAGCCCCTGCAGAGAGCCCCCGTCGGCATCCCATTCCTCTACCAGAAAGTGTCTTCCACGAGCCCCGTCACCGCGCTCGTCTCCACAAAGTCGCCCATATCGAGCATCGTCTCGGTCAACATGGATGGAAGAGACGACTGGATCATCAGCCAGAGGCAGGCATTGCTTGCGTGGACTGGCCATACTCTGAAGTTGAAACCACAGTACAACGTCAAGCTAGGCCTCGCACACTGGGGAAACACATACATCACCGGCAGAGGACTGCTGGCGCTTGCAGGAAGCGGGCAAATCTACCAGGTCCAAGTCAAGGCTGGTGAGAGCTATGTTGCGCATCCCAGGTACGTCGAGACAGCAAGCACACTTGGATGTCTGCACTAACAACCACACAGCAACGTCGTAGCATACACAGCCTCCAACACACCACCAATCCCCTTCCGATTCAAGTCATCAAACCTCCGCTTCCAGGTCCCAGACCTCGGCTTCGGCTCCATGGTTCAAAACACTAAATTCTTCCGCACCATGAGCAAGACAGCCACATGGCGCGCGCTAGCAACTACATACTACACCCTCAAGACATGGCTGCGGAGAACAGTCTGGGGCGACAGAGTAAGTTTCATATATCCCAACACCCCCGCGCCCACAAAACGCTAACAACTGCGCACAGTTATTCCTCCGCTTCGAAGGCCCTACCACCATGCTGGTTCAATCCCGCGCCTCGCGAATCAGCGACGTCCTCACCCTGAGAAACGTCGACGAGATTGCAGATAGCCCACCAGGCGCTGTCGAGGATGCTGCTACGCGCAAGATTAAAGAGGAGATCAAGTCGATAGGAGAGGGCACAAAGGCACCTATACCCAATACTGATGCTTCGGGGACTATAAGGTATGCTACTGTCAAAGATGGCAAAGCCGAGTTTGAGACACCAAAGGTAGTAGAGGCGCCGAAAGTATAGGATTAGCAAATCTGTTTACCATGTGTAACCATTGTTATGACATGTTTTTTTTTGGCAACATGCGACTAAGACTCTTAACATTTACTACTAGCGTCTGGCGTATGCGACCGCGAGACGCTCGCGCTAGAAAATCCCCATTTGTCCTGGACTTTGGATGTCCCCATGCCCAGCATCGAGCCGTACCAGACATGCTTCTGGTGTTCTACTGCATGAGGAACCGGCCAAGGATGCGCTGTCAGCTTCTCGCTTTCTTGTTTGTTCTCGCCAGCATGAACGTCTTGTCCCGCGGTTGTTATTGGGCGTTGGTCGTCGTCGTCGTGTGGTGGGACAGGAAGAGGGGATTGAAGCAGCGGCGGGTCTTGGTCCACCACCATCTGCGGCACGACTTTGGTGGTGAGAATAGTTGGCTCTGTTGTTGATGTTGATGTGCAAATAGTTTGGCTTGCGGTGACTAGAGGTGAAGCCTTGTCGGAGCGTGGGTGCGGCTCTGCTACTAGAGGTAGAAAGGTATGTTTCGTGCTTGACATGGGTGGAAGAGACATGGTTTTAGTGATTACGTTGGGGTAAACAGAGAATGGATTCTGTTGTATGTCATCTATCACCGGCTCTGGAGGTCTTTATACACGCGCTTTGGTTTGAGCGAGACCTGAACGATGTGTGATGATCGAGGTGTGCAGCAGATATCAGGTCATCTCGTGATTATGGCGACGTCGTTGCGTTGCGAGCTGACGCAGCGATAAGCTTCCTGAATGGACAATGCAGGGTCTGGTAATGGGGCTGTTAGAGTTTGGCCATCCTTGGATCTCTCACACCACGTTCATCGAACGTCGTTCGAGAACTAGTCCTTAGCTGTGTGCAAGGGTTTACTTTGGTAGCGTATGCATGCAGGACGAGTGCTTTTGAAAAGCGGGGAAACCTTGTCGGCCAGTTCTTCCGAGCCGCGACCTGCTTGAAGTGCGGAGGTCCTTGTCCCAACGTGCCTGCTGGAGGTGGTACGATCTTCCGTTGGTGCGTTCTTCACAAGCGAGCTGGAGTTGGCGGGTAAGAGCGATTGGCTATGTGAGATTTGCCAAGGCATTACTGATATTCTATGTTCAACTTCCTAAGCGGTGATGCACATGTTGTCGATGGACTTGTGTGAAACAACAAGTACATACAAACATTCGATTCTTGCTGGAATGATATCTCAGTTTCACTAGTCACTGCATCATGGTACGAGAAGTCCCTTTCAGGTTACAAGTTGATAAGCAGCCCGATGATTGAATCCCAAAGATTGTATACGTACAAGACCAGACGAGCTACATCTGACATATGCTAGATATGGTTCGCGTTCCACACTCACCCTTCGAAAGGAATAGAAACAGGCTCTTCAGCGGCCAACCGCTTGACCAACTCGGGGTCTCTAATGTGAAGCAGATTGGTCCAATTCATCTCCCGAGGAGCCTCTTCTGCCCGAAGGCGAAGCTTCGCAGGTGGATCCACGAGCGAGCCATCGTCTGCATTGACGCAGACAACCTGTTCATCTTGAGGGATATCGATATCCCATTGGCAGTATATGCCATCATCCTGGAAGAAACGGAAGCCTGGGAACTCTTTGCCGTTACAACCAGTAGCTGGCGTTGCACCTTGGTCGCAATACGCACTGCATGTTGTTAGCTTGGCTATCGTGCATGTTCAGTGGTTGTACTTGCATTCCGTTGGTATTCGTAAGAGCCAGGCGAAACTGTTCGCCATTTCCATTGAGTGGGCGATACAACTGGCGGAGAACACCACCTTGCACTGCCAGTACATTAGCACAATCCTATATGGTCTGAACCGCTGCGTTGTACTCACAACGTTGCTCGGCTCCACTGGCACAGATAAGAGTCGCGCCATCACCGCCCTCGGCCATGCTTGCAAAGGGGAATTCATCAGTCTCCATACCCGGTCCTCCATCTACAAGACCCAGACAAGGGCGCTCGCGACTTGACGGATCAGGGGTGACTCCAGAGTCGATGCGTTTCTGGTCGGCATCACCATTGGGGTCGTAGTTGAAGAGATCGTTGCCGGGCTGAACGCAGGTTTGGTAATAACAGATGTTCGTGCAGATAGTCGGCTGTCTGGCGCAATTGTAATTACGCGTAGTCTGGCCGAGGGTACTTGCAACCAAGGTGGAGATGACAAAGATGGGGCCGGCAAGAGAGTTCATTGTGGTTATCTTGATAAGTAGCGTAGGATGGTGGAAAGGAGAATTGTCAATCGAGGTTTGTTCGCTCAAAGTTAGCAGTACATTATTTAGATACTAAAGGCCTTTTATGTTCAAAGGATCTTGAGTAGGTTGTCGTGGGCGTACCTCGACATAGCTTACATGTTGCTAAGCGTGGGTAGTGCTAGGCTACCCATGGATTTGCAAATGTTGCAAGCTCATAGCCCCAAAGTAACACTGACGGAGTTCCAGATTACGCCTTGCCCGTACGCTCCTGGAATGATCAAGGTACCTGTCAGCCGGGGGGCCATTCTATGCTGAATCAGTGGCACAGGGCGTAAGCGAGGTACGTCATACTGTCAGCTACCTAGGTACTATGTAAATCTAACACCGGGCAGTATATAATATGACCCCAGCCCCAACGCTGTCATACGGTACCCAGTTCGATACATACTTAATCCACGGCTAAAAACACAACTTTTGAGACTGCGAAAATGTCGGAGAAACTCAAGGATGCTATTCCCATCTTCTGCAATGCCAGTATCCCGAGACAGGTAAGCTGATGTGTTCTCATGGATGAGCATAACAGGTATTGAAGGAATTGTGGCGCTAACAAGTCAACAGATACTGGAAGAATTCGTCACGCTGAGCCATGGAGTGCCGGATGTAGAGGATGTCGAAGGCCTGGGTATGCAGAACGGAAGAGTCGTCCTCGGGTCATAGACCTGCAACCACGGAACTCTTGACTAACAAATGACATAGCTGTTCTCGTCGACACACAAGACGTATCCCAAATCACCAGCTATATCTCCGTACCCATTTCTGACAATCTTCCAATGCCATTCCTAGATTGGAGTGCGGAAGACATTATCGAATGGGCAGCGCAGCACCTGGATCGCCAGAGAGACGGTATCGTCCCCTACGAGCTCGTCATCCTGGATCAGCAGACGTTGAAGGACAAGACCTGCCTCTTGGTAACAACAAAAGATGGTGAACTCTCACGTAATCCCGGGAATCCTGCTCGTATCATGGTCAGATCGGACTTTAAATCTGCGTTGGCTACGCTTAATGTCAAGGTTCAGTTTTGTGGCGGTGATGGCCATTTTGAGACAACGGCATCGGATGGCGTTATCCGACATTATGACGATTAAGTCGGCGCGGTTTCGGTCAGCCATAGCATGATGCGCCTTATTGGGATTCGTACACAGGCTGGATACTCTGTCTACAATGAG